GGAATGCCTCATCTCAGAAAATGATAAATTCTTCAAGAATCAAGCCACATTTCTTCTGTGGTATGGCCCTACAACTCACTTAAATTTTCTTTTATGCTTTTATTGTGCTCTGAGTATACCTCAATGATATCACTTACCACATTGTATTTTTGCATGTTTCACATGGTTTTTCTCACCACTAACCTGGAATCTCCTCAATGGTAAGAATCATGTTTTGTTTTGTTTTGTTTTGTTATTTTCCATTTTGGTATTCCCAGTACCCAGAATGGCACCTACTGATGTGGGGACACAGTGGTGCAGGAGTGATCAGGCCCAGCACGCACAATGAGACCTGTGCTCTTGGCTCATGCTCATGAAGAATTAGAGATGTGAACACAGAAAGGGGATAGTAAGAGGAGTTTACTAAGAGAGAGCAGGAAGAACAGAGCTCCTAAGCAAAAAATGGGTTCTGGAAAGTGAGTTGCTGAAGAGGAGCTGGGGCAAGGGGTGTTTATCTTGGTCAGAAAGGGCTTTGTCCGAGATTGTTCAAGGTGGGGCTTGCACATGCATTTCATCCCCCTCACCACCACCCATGTGTAAGGGTCACATGGTGGATGGATCCAGTCATTCTTCTAATTTGGGTGTGAGTATGAAGATCAGGAGATTCTCTTTGTCTAGAAGCTTTGGGTCATAAAAACTATTATCTTCTTCCCAGAATGTGGCAGGGCCTGGAAAAAAAGCCTTTCTTTTAAATCATGCTGCTTAGGTTAATCATTGAGTTATTGTTTTGCAAATTGTTTCTCCTGAGCAAGCATCTGAGCTATTGTGTATCCATCTTAAAACTTAGCCATTTTTGGATTCCATTTTGGGCCTATACCCTAACTATATTTTTAGAGTCCCTGTCTCTTACCTCATTCCCTCCTCTGCAAAGGAATCCCTAACTGCTGTTAGGGAGAGTAAGAGTTGAAGACCATTCTGGCTTTTTCCTTATGAAATGGGATGTTGATGAGGAGACAGCTGTCAAGGATCCACTACCAGAGGTCTATCTAGAGGCCTGTGCTAGAAGTTATGAGGGGTGCTCATGGGAGACCTTGTCCCAACAACTATTTCTATCTTGATGGATTCTACATGAGAAGAACAGTTCATTTTAATAATGATGTAATAAGCAAAAAAATTTAGCTATTTCTATTGCATACAGCTCTTAAAGATAACATCCAGAGGGACCATCAAATGACACAGTGGATTCCTTCATGGTTGATGGTGTGGTTCAAGTCCCAGACCTGGTGGCTTTAAACTCACACTGGTCACATGTGGGTGTGTGTTCAAGATCCCAGGAGGAGAACAGAGGAGAAGGAATTATGGTATGACCATTCCCCTGAGGGAGTGGTTTCTTGCTTTCTGTCTCTCTGTCTCTCCAGTGAGCACACATGCCCTATAGCAAAAATCTTCCCCCCCCCAAAAAAAAAGGTAACATCTAGAATTAGAACTGACAGCATCACATCAGTACAGTTAGCTTTAGAACATTTATCACCAAAACCTTAATTTTATCAATGTTTGTAATTCTTAGACTCTTCTAGCATAACTCAAACTTTCAACAACATGCTTTTCCTTTACCTTAGTCATTTTCCCTGAAGACAAAAACTTTACCACACAACATTTCTTCTATACCAAAACCTTTTCTTTTAACGCTTTTATACTAAAACTATATTTTCTCAGCTGTGACCTTCTTTTTATGTCACCTTTTCGTGTTTACTATTATTTTCCCTTGTTTTTCTTATAAGTGTACTTTTAGAAACAACCTTAACCTCTGATTTAGAAAGAAATTATTATTTTAAAAAACTTTAATTCTTGGGGCCGGAAGGAGGTGGTGTGGTGGTTAAGGACACTGGACTCCTCCCACATGGCTGACCATGGTTCAAGTCCTGCACCTGGCAGTTCTTTTCCTCTCTCTCTCTCTGTCCCTCTCTGGTCAAATTAAAAATAAATAAATAGATAAAAAAATAAGGTTCAATACAATAATTCTTTAAAAAATCTTTAATTCTTATTTGTCACTTTAAGGTTTACCTGAAGCTTGTCCATCAAGATTTTCAGATGTCCAAGGGCAGTTACTGGGGTCGTGAACACCATAAATCCTCAACTTCAAGGGCCAGCATAGACTCAGAAGTCCTGGGCTCCCTTTGGAGCCAGCAGACAGAGTAGTGGTTACAGTACTGGACTTCCACGTGGCCAACCGTGGTTCAAGACCCAGACCTGGTGACTTGAAACACACGCTAGGCACATGTGCGTGTGTGTCCTAGATCTTAGGAGGAGAATGAAGGATTATTTTGGGCTATTTATATTTTATATTTATATTTATTATATTGGGCTATTCTGGT